GAAGGGAATTGGCGAGAAGATATTACCCCCCCGAATGCATCACATTAAAATGTCGATCAAAATCAGAAGCCGGCCGCAGGCGCTGGGCTGTTGTTGACAGATCAGAACTTCAGTCATAAGCTCGCCGAAGACGCAGAATGTTTGCAACCTCATCTTGGCAGCTAGTGCGCATCAATATCCATCCGCGGGCACATACTCGCCTGACTCCCCGATATGTTTTTCAATGCGCGACCCCACAGGTCCCGCGACCCTTTCCCCAGGGTCAAACTTTCGCGCATGAACCATGTTTGATGGTTCGTGGGCCCGATAACGGGCGCTTGAGGCCGAGATCAAAGAAAAACACCCGGATTGAAGCAAACATATCGTTGGAGATCTGGGCCTCCATCCCCATCAAAACATCAGCAAAACACAAAACAGCGGAGGGTTTTGCCATGCGATCTTGCGCAGCGTAGGCCAGCCGCCCCCCCCCTGGCCCGGGGGCGTCCAAGAGAGGAGCCAAGACGGGGGGGATCAAATCATTGCCCGAGGCGCGTGCGCGAACGAAAGGGCGGCCAGAGGACGCAGTGGAAGAAGACAAAAAGGGCGCCGTGAAATCCGGGGAGGAATCATGGACCGGGCCAGGAACTGCCCCCCGCCCACCGTGAGTAGTCTCACCCCGCCTCGCGGGCCCCAGAGAGATCCCTTCCCCGGTAAACTGGTCCATTCCCTGGGAAACTGGCCCACTCCCCGGCTGCAGGTTCTGAGGACTGTGAAGCTTTACAAGCTTCGTAAACTTTTTTAAGCGCTCCTCGGCAGCTTGTCAGGCGAACATTGGAAGCTTTTGAAGCGCTCCGTGGCAGCTTCTCAGGCGCTCCCTGGCAGCTTTTGGAGCGCTCCCTGGCAGCTTCAAGGCGTTCCTTGGCAGCTGTTCGGGCGCTTCTTGGCAGCCCATCAGGCGCTCCTGACGATGAGCATGATGACGACGATGCTGATGATGCGGATGATGATGAGGATGATGACGATGGTGACAATGATGGTGCCGATGATGGTGATGATGGTGGTGATAATGGTGATGATGATGGTGATGATGATGGTGACGACGATGACGGTGATTTGGCGGTGATGATGATGAGGATGAAGACGACGCTTACCGCAACGATGATGACGATTGTGATGATGATGCTTGTGGTGATGCGGGCAATGAGGAAGAGGAGGAAGAGGAAGACGAGGAAGGTGAGAACTGCTGCCACATGTGACGCCTTTTTGCCCCCAGTTCTTCAGGAGCTCTCCTGGCCGTTGCCATCGGCGGTCTTGGTGGCATGGATGGAGGACGGGGAGGAGGAGGAGGAGGAGGAGGAGGAGGAGGAGGAGGAGGAGGAGGAGGAGTAGGAGGAGGAGGAGGAGGAGGAGGAAGAGGAGAGTGGAGGAGTAGATTTCTGCGAGATCCACAACTATCCCGAACTGTGATGTCTTGGGCCGTGGGTGGATACCCAGATCTGTTGGGATGCCTCTCGGGAGCCTCTTGCAGGACGCCTGGGGGCACCTTCGGCCATCCTGGGGGCCGCTTCGGGGCACCATTGGGGCATGTTGGGGGCACATCGCAGGCCTCAGGAATGCAATTCGGGCCATCTTGGGGCGGAAAGCTCAAAAGGACAGCTTGGGTTCCCCCTGTGGGAATCCTCTTGCTTAGGTTTCATGTACGGTGTGATGCACGTAATGCCTACGTGTTCGATGCGTCGCGCACGCGTTGCGCACACGATTTGCGCACGCTGCGTATGTGGTCTCACTTGCGATGGAGGCGCTGGATGAGCAAAAGCCGTCGAAGGAGCAGGGTGTCGTCCGTCAGTCTCGCTCGGACCCCCCCGCGCCGCGGCCAGGGAACCCGCAGGCCAGCGCTTCTCCGCAGGTCTCCCCGCCTTGCAACGGGGAGGACGTGCTCTCCAGCGTGGGGCAGTCCTTCCGACGAGAAGGAAACACGCCAGGAGGAAGGGGGTGGGGAGACGGAGGCTTTTGATCTGCAGAGCGGAGATGACAGCGACTAACCTCAAATGCAGGTGAGCCAATCGCTATTTTGGTGTGGATGAGGAAGGACAGAGAGGTCCAATAGCCATTGACTCCATAGACTCCTCCTCCTCCCCCTCCTCCCTTCTCTCTCGTAGTCGCTCCTCTCACTCCTCCATGCTCACTCCGCCGCCTCCGTAGTTCACTCGGGAAGACACCTCCAGCCGGGCTGCCCCCGCCTTGCCCGGCAGCTTGCTGACAGTGTAGCTGGTTGCCACGTCCGCCACGTTGGCGGTGGCACGGAGCTGAGGACGGAGCGCCAAGGCAGCGAGAAGAGGATCATGATGAATGGTGCGGTCGAGTGCCAAAATACAGGTGGGTATCAGGGCCCCGCCCCCTTCCCACATAATGAAAAGGAGAACGGAGATGTGGCGAAGGACGAGGCACAGGTACGAAGAGCACACCGAAACATCGTTGCGACAAAGTTTGACTGCCACTGGGTGGCGTCCAAGCAAAGGCGCAGACATCTGTTGATCCGCGGCGAACTTGTCCAGCCGAGGGCTACAGATAATGAAATCGGGACAAATTCTCAGCCGCATGGGCGAACGGACAAGGTGGAACTTACTCGTGGTCTCCGAAGAAAGAATAATTCCAAAAATGGGCGCGACCAACTGACTGGATTCAACCCTTGATAGGATACCGTGGTTACCGGTGTGGATGCTGCGCCTATTCTCGCAATCGCCGTGCGCACTCGTTATTGCCACTGTGGCCATCAGTGATTCTTCGCTTGCTGCTGAGATCTGTAATGTCTACAACTGGCAGCAGCCGGCGCGTCTGCAATCACTTGTAGCGTGGCCGTTTCAAATCAAACCAGGGCGCACTAGATCTCTCAACTCCGCTGCTCCGCATAAGCTGTTCCTGATCGGATGGTCTTATCTTCCTAGAGCGTGCCCAAGGTGTGCAACCGAGGTAACTGTTCAACGGAGTTGGCCAACCCCTTATCATCCTCTTATTCCCCCATATACAACAAACACGAAGCCGAAACACGTCCTTAGAAACGCCCCGTCCAAACTCGGAGCAGGGCGAGTTCAGACACCGGCAATGAAAATCGGTCCCCAGGCAGACCCCTCCAAGGGTCTAAACGCACGAATCTTCCGAGCTGTGTCCAACCGTGGCGACGAGGGGGCCTCCCGAAGACCAACTACCGTTGTCTCAACTTGCCCTCCTCTGACAAATCGCTTCTGCGCCTCATTCGTAACCTCCGTCTTTCGACACCAACCGATGTATGCCTACTCGTACTGCTCGGGCTTGTACGTTGCTACCAGCGTCAACCTGCTCCGTGCCACCGTTCCTCCAGCGCTCTGCACCCTGTCCCTGTTAATGCACCTACGATCGAAAGGACCACATATCCAACACCTATATACGAAGTAGAAGTTTCTGCGAAATTTCTGCGACTGCTGCTAAAGGACAAGAAGCCTGCATAAGCACAAACTTTCGGAGGTCCGCAAGCTTATGCTTATGCAACTGTATTTCTTCAACGTGAGGCAGGGCGCCAAAAAAACATGTGCACGATAACTCTAATGTGTAATTTGTGCGGCATGTCTGGTATTGCCCGGCCAATGTCCCGATCATCAGGTGCATGCAACCCCGCATACCACAAACCCTTTCTCGTAGTCCACCCTTCGGGTGATAAAGAATTTGGGAGGATGGACGCTGTTGTCGATATCGATTGACATCTGGCAATATGCCCATCTCTGAACCTGGCGACATTCCGGTCTCACGACATACCCGTCGATCTGCACTAGTTATCCACTGCTTACTGATTGTTATCACGACCTGTATATCGACCTCACTCTCCACTTGCCCTTCTCACAACATATCCATCTCAATTTCTACCAGCCAGTTCTCAGTATCAATGTTCATATATATATATATAGACGCATACATACATGAAACTCAATCTATACATATATATATATACATACATACATACATGCATAAAAGAGAGAAAGAGAAAGAGAAAGAGAGAGACTGCAATGGCGCTTCGCGCCATGCACCCTGGTCCCTAATGTTTGGCATGCAGGCGGAATGGCAGAAGGTGAAACTGAAAATTAAACGATGATTCATGGTTTCCTTTTTCCGACATCGTCGCTATGATAGCAATATTCCTTATCCTTCGCTCATGCTTCCTCTTCCTCATTCACGCCCTACCCTGCGAATATGTCCCCATCCTCCTCAGCTTTTTTTGAGGAGGTTCCTCCTTGGAGAGCCTCTTTGGGGCCTCGCGAAATTGTTCTAAAGGGCTACTTGGGGCCTTCTGGGGGCCTCATGGGTTCCTTCCGAGGCCTACAGTCAGACCGTTTCATAAGGATGCGCGATAAGGATGCAAAGGCCTAGACCGAGAAGGAAAGGATGCAAGGGTACCCGTGGGAATGTTGTCCATCCTTATCATGCGGGTTGACTGTATGGGGGCGGCTTCCACGGGCCGCCCTGCTTCCAACCGCGGTCTCCCCGAACGACGGGGCCACGATTCGGAATGCTTCGGGGGGGGCATCTTGGGGCATCGTGGGCCGTCATGGAACTTTCTTCGGGCCATCTTGGAGCTGGGGCTCTCTTGGACTGCCTGGAAGCCCTTTTTGGTAATTTTGGGGCGATGTTGGTCTCGGATGCCCGGCAGACCGAAGATCAAAGCATTCCAAATCAATGTCATCTTGCGTTTCGAATCTTCTTAGGGTTTCTTAGGGTTTCTTCTTTGGGTCGTCTTCGGGCGCCTGTTGGATATCTGGGGCCTCTCGGAGCTCTCGCGGGGCCGCAGGGCAATTCGGCCACCCTCCTGACTGATGTGGATCCGGTGCCTGGGCCCAGCAGGGGCTTCCAAGAAACCCAGAAAGCACGAGGGACCCTCTGCAGGGGCCCCGGGGCCACGGATCTGGAGGGTCCAGTTCTGGGGGGGGGGTCCTACCCCACCCCAGGTGGTCAAAACATAGGGAAGGGAATATGTTAGCCAGCGTGGACCCCGAACAGGGCAGGCGCACAGGCCCAGTTGCTTATGAGACGAGCGAGAACTCCCAAAGTGCAAGCACTGTTTGGGGAATATCTGTGTCGGTCTCTCTATCCATGGTCTCGCATGTTTCCACCAACCCAATACAGCTGCCTGCGTACCTACGCCGTGCAAGCAAATACCACTCTGTACCAGCCCGCGCACAGACACCATGTGCAATTTCGATTGAGCTTTCGATATGATGTTGCATGTGCATTGCGATTGCCATTCGTTCACAGTTACGTTTGCCGATGGATTTGCGTTTCGATTTCCGTGTAGGTGTCCGTTCCCACTTGTGCTCCGATCTGCAGTTTGGTTTGTCTGACGATGCGCAATTCTGTATTCAGCTCGATTTGTACTTCGATATGTGTGTGTTCGTTGCGCATGTCGGTTTACAGCTCTAGATGCATTTCGATTGCAGCTGCATTCGCGTTTAGATTGTCATTTAGATGTCATTTCGATTAACATCTCAATATGCATTTCGATTTTGATTGCGATGTGCATGTCGATTGCCTGTGGATCCAAAGTAATGCAACGCAATGAAATTCAGAACTTGTTTGATCCGCGGATCGAGAGCGAGCCTCTTCCAATCGAAGCTAAGCGGGCCGCGCACAGCTTTCATTACAGATATGCAGTTCAAAACAATGCAAGGCAAAACAATGCAAATCAATGCAACGCAGTGCAAAGCAGCGCAAAGCAATGCAACACAATGCATAACAATGCGATACAAAGCAATACGAATCAATGCAAAGCGAATGCAATTCAGTACAAAGAAATGCAAAGCAATGCAGGCAATGCGAAGCAATGCGAAGCAATGCAAAACAATGCGAATCAATGCGAACCAATGCAGAGCAATGCAGAGCAACGTAAAGCAATGCGAAGCAATGCGATCAAAGCAACGCGAAGCAATGCAAAGCGGGCGGCCACGAGGCGGCGGGCGGCGACGAGGCGGCGACGGCGGCCACATGGCGGCCAGAGCGGCCTGCAGGCCCAGGCGGCGGGCGGCGACGGGCAACGACGAGGCGGCGACGAGACGGCGACGGCGGCCACATGGCGGCCAGGGCGGCCCGCGGGCCCAGTTCCCCAGAAAAGACCAGAGTCCCGAAATGCAAGCACTGTTTGGAGAACGGTTGGGAATATGGCTTGCTGGTTACCGCTCCGTCCGCACTTTTCAAGCAATGCTCCCGGCCTTCTGGTGACAGACCCGCCGTTTCTGGAGCAAGGGCGAGGCATTCCTGGCCAGGCGCCTGCAGGACGAGCAGCAGTATCGGTATCTTTCCTCCTCTGAGAGAGCCAGAATGACATGATGCCGTGATGCGATCGGCTCAAGATCCGTCCCCGGAACTCCGGAGAATATGGCGGCCCTCGCTCCTGGAGCCCGTACGGAACAGTGAGAGATCGTGGAAGTCCAAAAGAAGCATGGGAAATCTGGGAACGCATACTCACGACTTCTTGCTTCTCTGATCTGAGGCACGGCCCCGCCCCTTTCGAGCTCCGCTGTTACGCACAAGCACGCAAGAGGTGCAAACAAAAAACTCTGCATGCACTTTTCGGGCCGGATCGTGTGTGAAGGTATGTGAAAGTCCTTCTGGAGAGCTTCCGGGCAGACGTACATGTCGTTAAATTCTAATTGTGTTCATTCCTACTTGTGTTCGTTTCTGCTTGTTCCTGGCCCCCTAGTGGCCAGGAAGAGGCCCAGGACAGAAGAATTAGAGATGAAAGGATCTTGATTGGCCCCCCAAAAATCAGAGAACTTTCGAAGAATTAGAAAGGAACCATGTGCATTGGGAAACGCTGAGAAAGGGCCCGCTGGGCCCGACGCTGGGCGACAACGACCGCTGTGCCAAAAAGTGCAGCGCCCCCCTCCGATCGGCGGGCACCCGCCGCGAGCCTTGCCGGCGACCCCGCCCTCGGACAGTCGCCCAGCCGCGCTCACCTTTGGTGCAGCGCCGAGGGGAGCCACCCCCCAGGCGGGTCGCCGCCTCCCCGCGAAAGCTCGGAAAGGAGCCCCAGGAGCCCCAGGAGCCCCCCCCCGCCCCCGAACGGCCCCAGACCTCCAGAAAGCTCCTCGAGCTCCGGTCCAATCCTGGAGCCTCGGCTGCACGCGAGAGCGACCCTGGGCAAGAGTGACCTCGGGGGCGCGGCTTCCGGGGAGCCGCGGGGGGGGGGCCAAACCCCAGCACGCAGGACGCAACTGCCGCATCGCATTCGGCGATCGGGTGACCCCTTTGGGCCCGCACCCGAAGGTCGCTCCGGCGAGCGGTCACTCTTGCATGCAGTCGGAAGGAGTTGGGGACCTTGTGTTGCATCTTTGGAGGACCTTGTCGGTCCCGTCGCGCCGCGATCCACGTCGAATCAGTGTCGAATCCGCGTCGAACCCACGTCGGAGCACAAGAGAAGACGCCCATCTACAGGACAGGAAAGGCCCCCCGCAGATGCAAAGGAAGTACATGGGCGATTTTGGAAACCCTGAACCCCAAAAGCGTGTTCATCTCCTGGGGGCGCATCGTGTAGTCCCGCCGCCTTCCGCCGGCTTCCGTCGGCGGAGGCGGCCTCGTTTGACTCCCGCCGGCCTTCCGCTGCCTCCCGCCGAGGAAGAGAGAACATGTGGGATCCAAAACCCGGACAGCAGGGCGCCAGAAGGACGTGGGAAGGCCTGTCGAAGCACCCTGGAGGCTCCTGAAGAGAACTCCCGAAGGACCTTCTGGAGAGCTTCTGGGCGGCACGTACACGTCGTTCATTTCTAATCGTGCTCATTTCTGCCTGTGCTCGTTTCTAATTGTTCCTGGCCCCCTAGTGGCCAGGAAGAGGCCCAGGATGGGAGAATCAGAAATGAAAGGATCTTGGCCCCCCAAAAACCAAAAAAACTTTCGAAGAATTAGACATGAACAGTGTGTACATTGCCGTGACAAAAGTATTATGCGGTCTTCATTCAACATGACTCAAGACTGGCGGAGTAAACGGAGTGGGCGGAGTAGAAATTACTCCGCGTGGACACGCATCCCGTCCCGTTTTTCATACAGGAATGGGCGGAGTAATTTCCGATCCTGTTTTGAGATAACAATGTTATTCATTAGAGGTAGACGAATTACTCCGCGGGATCGCGGAGGACGCATGTCAATGTTAGGAATCTTCAGAGGGATAGGAGATTCCACCGTATCATAAAACCGCATATTCTTTTGTCACGGCGGTGTATTGCAAAACGCTGAGCAAGGGTCCCGCCGACCCTCCGCTGCCTCCCAGCGAGCAGGGAGAGGACAACGGCCTCCGATCCTCGAAGGCGGGGGCCCTCCCTGGGACGCCCCGCGTGCAGTCGCAAGGAGCCGGTGGCCCCCCTGGTGGTGACCCTCGAGTTGTGGACGACGATCAACGAAGAGGAAGCATGTTGCCAAATAGCTTCCAGATGTCGAAAAAATGTTCGACATGTCGTAAACATGGGAAAAACATGTTTTAAGCATGTTTGAATCAGTTTCAGACATTTCGAAAACATGTCAAATTCAATGATAGGATTGTGAGGGTGTCCATTGTCATGGCATCCACAGCCCCGGAGCCTCCCAGATGGGGTCGGAGTAGACAGGGTCGGAGGATCGCGCCGCACCAGCGATGCATCGGCGATGCATCGGCGATGCACTGGCGCTGCCTCGTCGACGCCGGCGGTGCACCGGCGATGCATCGGCGCGAAGCAAGCCGGGCTCCACATCGAGCCGCAGTGGCGATGCATCGGCGATGCGAGGCGACCCTCCGACCCCGCCTATACTCCAGCCAGCTCTGGGAGGCCTGGAGATGGGGAAACCAAAAGGTACCGATACCGCTACTCCTCGGACCTCTCCCGGGGTGCGTTCTAACCAGGATTTCGAGGCGAAGCCAGCGGTGGCGACGAGGGCCTCCCAGGAGGCCCAAAAAAAGGAGAACGAGGCAAGGGTAGAGGTATGGGTACCCTTTCCTCCTCTGAGGAGACCCCTCCCCTTGGCACTGCCCGAACCTTCAGGGGGCCCACCGGCTTGGCGTCGAGGGCGAGCCGCGCGGAGGCGGCGGGCCTCTCCTCGCCGGGGGCTCGGCGCGCCGCACCCCGCGGCCAAGCGGGCGCCGCGCGGGAGGCATCCGCCGACCCCTCGGGGCCTCTGGGCGCGTGCGACCCTCTCTCTCTATTTCCCCCCCCCAAGAAGCCCCTGGGGAGCGAATCGACGGGGACACAGCATTTACCAGCCTGGAACATATCCATATCCCTATGCTGGGCAACTCCTCATCACGATGCCAATCTTAGGGATTCCCTTATTTTTTGAGGGCGAATCCCTAAGAGTGTCATCGCCTTTTGGCGTGTCAATCTTAAGGATAGGGATACGTTCGAGGCTGGTAAAGCGTTGATTCCGAATCTGATTCCCCAGAACTCTCGCTGCATTCTGGGGGCGCTCTGTTCGTCGGTCCGGGCGTCCAAGACCGCCCGGGGGGCAGGAAAGAAAGTCTCCCCACAGCCACCCCGGAGGGCTTCCGGGCAGGCCAAGAGAGCCCCAAGACGGCCCAAGAGGGCTCCAAGATGGCCCCCATGACGGCTCAAGATGGCACCAAGGCGCCCCCCGAGTCATTACAGATCGTGACCCGGTCGTTCGGGGAGACCGCGGCTGGAAGCACGGCGGCCCGAGGAAGCCCCCACAGGCCCCCAGGAGGAACCCAGGAGGCCTACAGAAGGCCCCAAGAAGCCATTAAAAACTGTCGTGAGGCCCCCAAGACGCTTTCCAAGGAGAGGCCCCGCCAATCAAGCTAAGGAGGTTTGGGGCACAGTCGCAGGGAAGGGCGAGAATAGGGACGAAGAAGATGAGGCATGAGGGAAGATTAGCGAATGACATCAGTTCAACGACGATGTCGGAAAATGTAACAAGGACGTATCGCTAAATTAACTGTTTAACCTTCCTGTTCCCCCGCCTGCATGCCAAACATCAAAGACCAAGGTGCATGGCGCGAAGCGCCAATGCAGTCTTGTACATGTGTATATATAAGTGTGTATATATATGTATATACAATACTGCATTGACGTTTCGCTCCGTGTACCTTGGTCCTTGAGGTCTGGCATGCAGGCGAGATGGCCAGAAAGTAAAACTGAACATTTAGCGATAACTCTTTGTTGCCGTTTTCCGACATCGCCGTTGTAATACTGCTCTTAATCATCCTTTCCTCGTGGTTCCTCTTTCTTATCTTCATTCTCGCCCTACCCTGCGAATTCGTCCCCATCATCAGCTCTTTTTGCGGAGGATCCTCCTTGGAGAGCCTCGTTGGGGCCTCACGACAGTCTTTAAAGGCTTCTTGGCGCCTTTTGAATGCCTTCTGGACTCCTTCTTCTGGGGGCCTGTGGGGGATTCCTCGGGCCACCCTGCTTCCAACCGCGGTCTCCTTGAACGACCAGGTCAAGATTTGTAATGGTTCGAGGGGCGTCTTGGGGCCATCTTGAGCCGTTATGGGGCTCTCTTCGTGCCATCTTGGGATCCTGTTGGGACGTCTTGGGGCTCTCTTTGACTGCCTGGAAGCCCCTTGGGATAGTTTTGGGACGACTTTCTGGCCTCCTGGGCGGTCTCGGACGCCCTGAAGACCGAAGAACAGAGCAACCCCAAATTCGCACAAACAAACAACCATTGGAAATCAATGTTCCTTGCGTGTCGAAAGCCTCTCGAAGGTCTTCTTTGGGTCGTCTGCGGGCGACTGGTGGGTGTCTGGGGCCTCAGTGGGCTCTCGCGAGGCTGTTCAGTCGCCCTCCTGACCGATTCGGGCCCGTCGCCTAGGCCCAGCAGGGGCTTCAGGAGCTCTGGAAAGCACAGGGGACCGTCAGCAGGGGCGGTCAGGGGGCCCCCCTGGGATCCGGGGGGGTGGGCCTTTCGCAGGGCCTCAGATTATTTTAAATTGATTTGTCTTTATATCTATAGATATATATATATATATATATATATATACAGATATACAAATATATATATATATATATATATATGTGTATCGGAGGTTGGGGGGGTGAGACCGAAGTGAGACGGCGTCCTCCAACCGGGAAATCGGTGTCGGCTTCGGTTCGTGTCGTGCGTGACGCGCTTGCAGGCGAGGAGAGGCAAAGCTGCTAGCATAGTGGATCAGGCCGTCCATTCTCCATCCTCCTCTCCCTCCTCCCTCCTCCCTCCTTCTCCTCCTCCCCCTCCTCCTTCTTCTCCTTTTCCTCCTCTTCCTCGTCAACCTCCTCCTCCTCCTCCTCCTCCTCCTCCCCCTTCCTTCTACCTTGAAAACAAGTCCTCCCTGTCGCACCCCTAGATGTGTCCGTGGGGCGGGCCCGACGTTCCGCCTGAGACATCCCACCATTACTGACCCCGAAACTTGAAATCTGAAAATCATTCAAACATGGAGGGCGACTGGTTTTCAGAATGCGACTGCCGCCTCAGCGCCGCGCACAGTCGTTCTCAAAGCTCTCAGCACCTTCAAGGATGGAAGGCAAGTGGTTTGTAAAGAGTGGCTCTCGCCTGCGCGCGGCACATTCGTTTTCAAATCCTGCAGCCCGCTCAAGGATGGCAGCCGGCTCCTTTTCAAAATGTGGCTCTCGCATTAACGTCGCGCACATTAGTCTTGCAATCGGCACGCAAGAGGAGTAGTATTCAGGATTCGTAGATGTAGCAATAGTAAGGATTATCAAGACGAAGCAGTCGCGTTGGTTCGCTGTGTTGAATACCAGGAGTGGCGTTCTGGCACGGTTTCAAATTGTCATGTTGATTCGCGGCGTTGGGCACACAGGAGCGGCTTTCTGGAACGGTTCAGGATTGTCTGGGCGCAACAGTCACGTTGATTCGCGGAGTTGACGTCCCAGGAATGGTTGGCACGATCGAAGATTTTCAAACGGTTGTCTTCCAACCGGGCTCCCCCCGTCATAAGCACAAGTTCTTGCAGGGACCCATGAGAAGGAGGTAACTTGGAGGGAGCGCTTATTGCAGCATCATTGACGTCCCTTGGGTTCGAGCTAGTCCTCCTCCTCCTCCTCCTCCTCCTCCTCTTCCTGCCCCTCCTCCTCATCTTCTGTCCCTCCTCCCAGGATCCTCGATCCTCGGGAGCAAGGGGCGGCGGGGCGCCGCCGCTCGCAGCCTCCCCGCGCAGCGTGCACCTCGCCACCACGGCGAGCTCCGACCCCTCGTTCAGCAGCCTCCCGGCCAGCGCCGAGAGGTCCGCGCCAACCTTTCCCGGGGCCGCGCCGGGGGGGGACGTCCAAGACTGCATTTCGCGGCGCGCACAAGGGGGTGGAGGGAGGGGGGAGGGCTTCTTAGAAGGAGACTGCTTCTTAGAAGGCGCGGGCCTTACATCTACAGAGAAGGCCCGCGCCTTCCAAGAAGCAGGATTGCTTCTAAGAAGCCTTCCCCCCTGCCCCTACCCCCTTTTGCGCGCGGCCGGCTGTCCCGGGGCCGCGCAGGGGGGACGTCCAAAACTCCATGAACCCAAATCAGCGACGATCCGATGTTTTCGATCC